GCACCGGCTCGCCTGGTGCGTTCCAGCCTTTGTTTGCATTGCATAGCTGCAAAAAACGCATAAAAAGTCGATTCAACCTAAAAATGTGATTCATATCGGATTTATCGTCCGGGAGTTTAAGGCTAAATTCCAAATTTTCTAAGCCACAAATTTCTCATATTTCCATAAGAAAAATTTCTTTGCAACAGTATGCAGCTGCGTGAAACTAATTGCTGCTTGCCCAGGTTCAGCTGTTCCTTCAAGAGCTGCAATTCATGAGCAAATGAGTTTCAGAAGCATAGAGCTACCTTTGATTCTTGTATCCAATATCGGAATGGTTTTATTTGTTAAAGAATAGTTAGAAATTCTTTGCAGCAACTTCTAAAAATGCATTATAATTTATTTTGAAACGCTCGGCTTATAATTCGGTATTTAGTTTCAGTGTGTGCTGTGTCTGCTATTGCTCACAGGTTCAAAGCATCACGAAGGAATTCGAATACCTGTCTGTGCATTGCCATTATTCGATTATAAAGCTAGAAAAATATGGATAATAGTGCTTTGCGGCATACAGGTTTCTCTGTTAGCGCCATTCTTGTTGCTGTTGTATTTGAATTTGTTGAAAAAGGTAAATTTTGCAGGAACTGAAAATAAATTCCAAAATTTTTTCTGTTAAGTAACCTTTCTTCTTTTAATTAAAAGGACGATATAACGAGCCAACAATGCATATGAATAGGACTTGTACGTTGAGATGAAAAGAAGCAAATGAGTAAACTGGAAGCATTCACTATTTTACGAATCGTGTCTTTTAATACAAACACAATATCGAATGTGACAAGGAAAATTTTCAAATTCAGTGGATGTTACCAGTTGATTTAAGTGGTCGTGAAATCACAGTGAATTCCACTTTTCCAGCATGGCCTGCTTAAGTTTTCAGTGCAGAAAACGCTAGGTGAAAAGATATTCTACAGCAAAAATGAAAGACAAGCAGTTGAAGAAACGACTTAATGACTGGTACTGAATCAGTTAGAATGAATATGCGAAAAGTCACAGATGCAGTGGATCCTTTCAAGGATCCAGCTCAAGAAAGAATTACTTGGGTGAAGGAGGACCAAAGTGGAAACAGAAATGTTGCCAGCAAACGAACACAACGATGAAACAACAGCCGGTCAAAGTAAACACCCAAGTGAATTACTGCGGTTCCTGCCTGGTGTGAACGATATTTTCAAAGCAGCCAAGCCAGGTGGAAGAATTGGGCCGGTCAAGTGGTGAAAATGTGAGAAAACAGAAGGACGATGCTGATTTTCACATAATGATCAAATAATTTTAAAGGGAAAGAGGAAAGTCGAATGTGTGAAAGGAGCGCAAGACAAAGAATGAAGAAGTTGTCAATTGCACTGGTGGCGAAAAGCAAAGTAGTGCGAGATACACTGATAAAAATACTAAATGTAATTGTATATGTAAGAACAAAAAGAGAAGCTGGAAATGACTGCGAGAGGAAAGATAACATGAGAGTTTTGAAATACGAAACAGTAGAACAGTAAAAAGAGACGAAGAAAAGATTATGAAGCTAAAGACGTGCAATAGGAGACGGTAGGCGCGGGTGTGAACTTAACATTATTAATGATACCAGATATTAAAGTTAGATAACCGCAGGTCACACTCTCATCGGTAAAAATGCCATCAACCTAAACTTTAATAAATTTAACTTTGTTTACCAACTAAGCTAACTGACTTCAATATCTGAGGCTTTTAATATTGTTAATCATAGAAAGAATTACTCTGCTACCAGCTACTTGCTTTTCAGCAAACAATGTCCACTCATTTGCCAAGTTTATTGAGTGTGAAATATCAACTGAACGAGAACATTCGTACAACGAAGCTCATGTTCACAACAATTATCGCTACTATTGCAACGATCCTTTACAATGTACCGGTAACCCTGTACCATGGCGTGGATGTCAAACCCGACGGACTAATTAGCAATGCCACCTTGCAGCGTGTTATCGCATACGCTCCGTGGGAAGCAACAATTGTTTGTCCATTTTTATTATACTCATTTTTTAGACATCTACCTGAATGTACTGGCAATCGTGTGAGTATGACAGAAATAATTCTATTGCATAACTGTGAGGACTAAACAGAGGCTTCCAACCTCACAGATTCCCAAAAAAGATTGATTAAATTATTTTCAGGAATTTCAAATTCCGATCAGATCGATTGTATTCGCTACACTTCTTATTTCACTTTCACCACAATTCCGTATCACAGGACGACGAATGTTGCGTGTTTTTGGACTACTGTGTCAGCCAATGAAAAATCGCATCCAGAGCAATGCGCCCGATGAAGAGGGCCGAATATACTTTCAGAATCTGAAAATTTCATGGAGTTCTGTTCCACAAAACTCACAAAAAGTACTGCTTTGTATTACTTTTTGATTTTTAACCGCTTCTGCGGGCCAATAAGAAGTAACGGTGCTGCTGGCAAAAATTCGAGGATTCGATTCTGCCAATGGAGCAACCACTATCCTTACGACCTGTTCGCTCATTACGATGGCAAACTGGTACTGGCTTGTGCCAAAGACTCAAACCCGGCACCAACTTGCTTCTAAGCAGTTTTTGAAAGGTGGGACTATCGATAGCATCGCCAGCTGTTTGAGCTTGGTATTGCATCATTGACGTCTCCATCTTTCGTAGATGACGAACACGGCGGAGATTTTGACTTTCTGACTATGGATTACAATTGTAAAATTTTAATCACTCCTGTTCAAAATGACCGTATGAGTCCCAAACGCGACTTGCTCGTTTAAAAAACATCAATTACTGGTTATTATATCCATATAAATACAGACAGTAGCTGAAAATTACAGAGATTTTGTTGTTTATGCTGTTTCCATAGTTCCTGCATTTTCCCCCCTCTTGTCCTACACGTGTGCTCAGTTTCTGCACCTCTTCTACTCCTCACGCTCTCTCCTTTAGGTCTGGCTTCTGGACACACTCAATAATCAAAAAAATATAAAAATTTATTTTTCAGCAAAAACGACCGGTGGGAAATAGCGATGCGAAAGGCATTGTAAGTTTTTAATATAACAACGCTTTATGCAGCAACTCGCTAGCATTAGATAAGTGTTTTTGCATTTTAGCTATTTGCAGCTACTGAGACTTAGCAGTTTCCCGAGTTCTATTGAAATGAGTTAAAATTAATCTTCTCAATTCAACAGCAATGCGGTTCATATCGTTCTTTTTTCTTACTTTAGTTAATGGGAATGAAATGCTGAGGTAAGTATGGCAAGGAGGTAGATTTTTAGCCTTGTTGTAGAAGAGAACATTGCTCCAGGACCGATCCTGGAAGGGGGCAAGGTACGCTGTTCGAGCCCTTCGCAATACTTACAGATCTTTTAGCTTTGCTTCATTTATAATTTATCTTTTGCCCTAAAATCTCTGCCTCTATTCCGCAAATCCAGCGGTTGCCATCTTGAAAATTGCAGGGACGCAAAATGAATGCCATCACCAAGTCAGCTTAAAAGTACTGCAAGTGCAAGAAGCCGTTGTGTTTATCAAGATTTCAATGATAATCATTTGAGCTGTTTGTTGCTTAAGAATTTTTGATGATTAAGGAGAATTGTATGGAAAAATGTTAAATCGTCAAAAAATTTGGTGAAATTTGATGTTTTCAAATAAAAGAGGTTTGTTTAGTATTTCCAAAGAGTGACATTGAACAACTTAAGAAAAAAAAGGCAAAATTATCAGTACTAATGAAATCTATGGCGTATTATCAGAATGATGGGCGGCTCGCCTTATTTTTTTGTACAAATACATTAAAAAATAATGCTCACAATTAGAATGAGAATGAGTCAAATTAGAGTTAAAAAGTAGTCAAATGCTTTTAAATTTCCGACCTCCAAAGCCTTTCAAACAGAACAGTCTAATCTTCCTCATAGCTCATCATTTATCCAAACTTTTTCACTGGAGCCTCGTTTCGAAAACACTGTAAAAAAAATCACTTGCTGTTGAATAACTATTCGTTTCTTAGCGCTTTCAGACAGGTAAAGACCACTGAACCACATTTTCGCTAAAAAGTCATTGACAGGCACCACAGTAACTGGGTTTAAAATCTTTGGATCATGAATGAAGAGATAATGTCCAGACAAAATTTTTCAATTTCTTATTCTGGCTGATTCCGGAAATCAATTTTCAGGCAAAATTTTTTTTTTTGGTTTCGGCTTTAGTGGTTTGCTTTGTAAGCTGATTCTACATTTATGAAGTCGCAGATGAGCCGGGAAATTTTTTCAGCTTTCTATCTTTTCTGGCCTGCCGGGCTGAAACATGGCAATCAATGATCACATTTACATGCCTGCAATTTCTCATCAGCGCGCGTTTCATGGATGATGCGAAAAGGCATATTAAAACGTAGGCTGGAACGCACCAGGCGAGCCGGAGCGATCATGCGTTTTTGCACAAAACTT